AATCTTCCTTTTAAAAGGCTTTAAAAAAATTAAAATTATTTGCAAATGATTATGCTGCACATATGAATGAAAACAAATATTTTGGAAATTTACTAACTGTCAGAAAATGAATGACTTTAGATCTACAGATAAAAAGCATATACAGATAAAAAGCATATAGGACAGGGTATAACTTATGAAGAGGTGAAGTGTGTGCATGTAATAAATTAACCCCATGGGCTTCTCTTTCAAATTAAATTAAATGCTTTAATTTAAGGAAATGTTTAAATGTCTAAAAATAAGAATCTTAGGATTTTTAAAGGAAAGGAGTTTAAAATAAACTTAACAGAAAACAACTGAAACAGCAGTGCTGATGGCCCTATAACACACAGGTGCAATGCTGACTTTCATTCTAAAGAGGTAATGGGGAATTTCCCCAGGGCCTTTATACTCTCAAGGAAGGGGTGAGGGGAGGTTGGGGGCTCATCACAAAAGAAAAAGTATCTCTCCATTTCCTACCACTTCCTATCAGGAGGCTATGATCCCTGGATCTGCAAAGTCAGAGCCCTGCATACACAGATTTATTCCTAACATTCTTTAGATAGGATGAAATGTGATCTTTTGTCCACTTGAATGCTATCTGACTAACAATCAGAAATCCCAGGATTTATTTTTCGGGCAAGAGTTCCTATTCTGCACTATTTACGTTGCAGCAATAATAAAATGGCTCCCAAGAAAATGATGGAGCCTCTTTTTCAGATCACTTCTTTAACGCATTTGATGGTTAATAGTGTAAAATCTGAAATGTAAGAAAAAACACACCCAGGACTGAAAAAAAAAAAGAGGAAGAGAAAAACCACAAAAAAGTTTTTTTTTTCAAAATGCTTTTTCTTTACAATGTCAAAGACAAAATTAGTTCATAGCATCACTGAAAACAAAGACAAATATCTGAAACGCTCTAACCTGTATAAATCCTTTAAAGAATACTATTATCATGTATACCATATGGCAATTGCCATTTTCAGGCACGAAGCTTGGGTCTGAGTCACAACCATAAGGTTTGGGCTCTGCGTGGTTTTCTCTCCTTTCTGTCTTCTCTGATTTGCTTTCTCTCAAAGACACATTATCAGCAGGTTATTTTTAAAAAGTGATTTATTATATATAAAATTACTAAATGAAATGTAGGAAATTAGTAGTTTTTAAAAATTTTGTTTTGGGGTATAGCTGATGGTTTCAGGTGAACAGTGAAGGGACCCAGTCATACATATACATGTATCCATTCTCCACCAAACCCCATTCCCATCCAGACTCGCCACATAATATTGAGCAGAGTCCCATTTGCTACACAGTAGGTCCTTGTTGGTTACCCATGTTAAATATGGCAGTGTGTACCTGCCCATCCCAAACTCTCTAACTATCCCTCCCCCTGGACCACCAACATCTTGTTTTTAAGTCTGCTGAGTCTGCTTCTATTTTGTATGTAAGTTCATTTGTATCATTTCTTTCAGATTCCACATATAAGGGATGTCATATGATACTTCTTCTCTTTCTTGACCTTACTCAGCATGACATTCTCTAGGACTATCCATGTCACTGCAAATGGCATTAGGAAATTAGTTTTAAAGCAACAGTTTTATCTTTCTTAGTTTAAAAGGCCAAATACAAAACAGGAAGAAAAAAAATTCCACCCTAAAATGCAATCTGTAAATATCCTCTTCCCATTCTTATGCTCCTCACTTCTATCTCACAGTGTTTGCATAAGTCTTCAGACTAGGGGCACATGTGCCTCTTTGCATTTCTTAGTGTGAGGGATTAGCACTTCTATTCACAGCTGAGAGATGGGAAGATCTTGGAACTGCTGTAGAAAATGTTGAAATTTTAAATGTATAGGAAGTCAGGAAATTATAGTTATGGTTCTCAAAAGAATAGACTGCTGGTATATAGTATATATATTGGATTTATGTACAACCAGCAAAGCAATTACTTGAGTATGTTATATGCCAAAGAGGCAAACAATAAGTTTTACGTAAATAAACCTTAACTTTAAATTTCTTCATACTGTGCATTTAAAATTTCAATCCCAAAATTTTATTTCAAAGTTGAGAAATAATTAATATAATGCTCCTCTTATGTGTAGCCATTTGTGATTATATCACCTTAGTTGGTGGGTATTTACGTTTGCTATAATATCTGTGTAAAACACCATATGAAAAATAAAATAATGCTATTGTTTTTATCTCTGGATAAAAAGCTGTAGGGTATATATATTTTTCCAGGGTGTTGATGGATATGCACTGATCCAGTCACATCTCCTCCCATGAATCTCTTGTACATACAGACATAGGTATACCTTTCAACATCCAGGACATGCAGCTGAGCTCAGTGAAGTCTATGGTTCAACAAAGCTAACTAGCATGTGTAAACTGAGGCTCCTTAGCATTCTGCTCTAAGCCCAATTCACTACCCAATTTCATTTTCTAAATGCCTTAGGACCTTGAGGAAGGGGCTACAATTATTATGTAAGACACAGCTATAATCTGATTTTTTTTTTTTCATCACAGATGTTCTTAAAGAGTCATGGAGTGGTTAAGTAAGGCAATAATGTCAAACTTCAGTGAAAATGGCAATCTCCTTATGGTTGCCCTGAGTTTGTTCTATGTAATTTCCCTTTTCTTAATAAGGGACAGTCAAAATGTTTATACTACTTTCTGACATGGTTCTTCAGTAGTCCAATTAAAGAATGAGAAGATAGAAAAATAATAATCTGCATAATACTATCATCTATTATAGAGTAAAACACATAAAAGTAGGAAATTAATCTTAAACCTGAAAAATATCCATTATCCATTGGATAATGTCCCAATAACCACTGTATCACTACCAAGACTGATTAAATATAATATTAAATCTAGATAAATCAATTGGGTAAAAAAATAATCTTTTATCATTAGAAAAGTCAATCTCTTCATCTGATTTAAGTACCATATTTGGTTCCTATGGCTAAAAATATCTGATGGTTTAAAAAGGGTTAATTTTCAGTACACTGAATGATTAGGCTTCTGGGCCTATGATCTTTCCATGAATTCATTAATTAGTAACATGGGCTGAAGTCAACTCTAAAAGTATAAGCAATTTATTTTCCGTCTCTCTCAAGTCATTCAGTAAAAGGAACATGGGTTTTGGGGCCACAGTGACTAGCTTTAAATCATGCTAGATCTCTTGCTAGCTGTAAAGTCTCGGGTAAATCACTTAGCCTTAACCATCTATTTTTTACCCTCCTAAGATGGGGTTAATACCACTTACCTTGCAGAGTTGAGGAGTGTTCTGGATGTGATTGACACTTAACAGATTGTAATTATTATTGTTATTATAGAAAGTAAATAGTAAGATGCTGATTTTGTTTTATACATCATTCACAAGGCTTGATATATTTATACAAGGCCTGTGAGTAATGATCCCAATAATAATGTAATCTCTTAGCAAATAATCTAAAATAATATAATGTAATCTCTTGGCAAAATCTCTGACATAATATACCTGTATTAACATTTACAACAACCCTATGAGGTATCATTTATTATATTTATTGTACAAATAAGGAAACTGAGGCACAGAGAGATTATATAATTTGCTCAAGGTCATACAGTAGAGTCAGGATTCAAACCCTGGCAATATGACTGCAGAACTTATGCTATAAATCACTTCATTAAAAGCCTGAAAACAACATTATTGTAAGATAATGGCCATTCACTCATCAAATATGTATTGAATACAAACACAATGCTACATTTGGTGCAGGGCACTAGAGTCCAAAACTTTGTCAGGACTACAAAACCTATAACCTTCAAGGAGCTTACAATATGGCGACCAGAAGCAATACTACCTTAAAGTCATGACTCAAAAGCCATATTTTTCTGGCTAAAAAACAAGTCCTTTGTATTACTATTATTTGAAAACCATACAATTCCAAAATTATAGCACAACCATAATTTACTTAGAGAACTATCAGGGTTTCTATATCTTCTGAATAACTGTGAATAAAATTCTCACTGCACTTGATTTATCTTTATGCTTACATCTTTTAAGAACAGACACAAAAATTATTCTTATGTAATGACTGCTATGTGTCTAACATCACCACCAAACTGGGTCATAAAAGGAATTTCTGGTCATTAAAAATACCAAACGTTTGGTCAAAAGGTGGATCAATGTTAAAGGCTCAAATAAGTAGCAAAGGGAACTAGATAAAGGACTTCTATTTCAAAGCTTATATATAAGAACAATGACTCTATGACCAGGTACACAGATTTCCTGCCTCCTTTTTTTTTTCCTTTCCTCTTTCCCCCTTATGGCTTTAATCATTATTTTTCACTCTCTCAAATGCACAAATAATAAAGTAAGTAGGTTTCTGACTACCTGAAAATATTTTATGAGCTTTAAAAATAGGGTTATCTCATTTACCCTAGGATAAAAGAGTTAAACCTATCAAACCAAAAAGCAATTGTGGATAATGTATGTATAATTTATATAATGTATATAAAATATCATGATTTATATAATGCATATAAAATGCTAAAATGTTACCCTTGTTGCAATTTTATCCATCTTTGTTTTGAAGAACTGTACTACTGCATACTACTACATAATTATGTAAATGAAATCAGACCAATAATCTAACAGCAGGTCTGCCTTTTACCCTTTTTTCATCGGAAACAGCTTGTTCAGAAGACAAGGAGGTTAGTAAAAGTAATGGAGTCATTTTCAGCTCAGTCTGAGTGAAGGTTATTCTGAAGAGAAATTACTTTTTTACCCACTTTTTTGCAATAAACAGAAACCAAACAATAGTTGGCAACCTGGACATCAAACAGAAAAAGTATTATAAATGATCTTCAAAAGGCACCTAGCCTGTAATAAATATAAACCTATTGATTCTGCAAGTGAGCACAAATCTAGATATGAATGGTATCCCCCTGGTGCCCTGTAGAAAAAGAGACTGCTCCAGTAGCCCACACAGTGCTCACCTGATGCTGTCTGTCTTCTGGCCACCCCTGGCACATGGCTGAAACTTGCAGGTGTTTCTCCAAGGTTTGGTTACTTCCTGTGACTCCTTTTCATTGATTGTCTGCAATTGCCTCAGTTAAAAGCATGCGTCCTTTATACTTTTCAAATACATCTAGTTTTTCAAGGGCTGTGATGGTGAGTGTTGTGGGATCTGGATACTTTTTTTTAAAGAGGAAGTCTGAAGGTTTCCTTGTAGTAAAGTTTCAGGTATACTGAGTGAACATTTCATTTGCTTATGTGCAGAATGCTTTTACATTTGCTTTTTAATTTCATTTGTTGGCTTCAAACTTCTTGGGGAAAGAAAACAGTAGAGAAGCATCTTTTAAAATGATTGCCCAATTACTGGCATTTCATTCAAATCATGGCCTATTGTGGTGTATGTTTAACACTCCAGTGACGACATTTTCCTTTTCGATTCAGTCAGTATGGGATAACATCAGTTGATTTTTTTTTTTTTTTTTGGTAGTACAAATAAGCATTTTGTGATTCATTTCACCGCATCGAATCCTCAGACTTAACTTTATTTGTGCGGTTGATTCAAACAGTGGTTTTCCTTGTGAAATCATGTAAGGAGGAACCATCTGGAAAGGTTACTGTGGAAACGGCTGGGGCTAGGGGGTGGGGCTAGAGAGCAAGAGATGCCATGACGACCTTTTTCGGGTTTCCCGGGAAACAAGGGTTGCTATGGGAACTGCATCAGTCAGGTCTGAATTAGTAACTTCCGCTGGAAGGAGTGTCTGCCACTTTAATCTTCTTGTGATACTGCAGAAGCTTATCTCTCACATACATTAGGAAAAATTTTTTTGTTTCTCTAAGCAGCGCTGAAAACATCTGTTTCTAGACTTTGATAGATGCTAGCTGGAATGCACACAGTTTCACAGGAATCTGTTACTGTAATACTTTCAAAATGCTTAACAAGCCCCAAAGAGTTAAACTAATTAGTCAGATTAGGACATCGCAGGCCTTTCCCTTAGTCCGAAGTTCTAGAGATCCTTAAAATTCCAGGGGGCAGGGTCCAAATAGAAATTCCAGTTGAAAACCAAATAAATTTATGGTGGGTTTACAAGTCATTGTTCTAAATAGACTTTTCATTCAAATATCCACAGTGTTGGCAACTCAACTAAATATTCAATAATGTTGAAGAGTTCATCAAACTGAAGCATCCTTTAAGTATATTCCTGCTTTACTTAGTAAAGAAACAACTGCCTGTCGAGTCTGAGGTTAAACAGTTATTCTAACTGTTCTTCAGTTTCATTTCCTCCCAGGATGTACAGCTTGGTTTTTTTTTTTTTTTTTTTGGTTGGTTTTTGCTTTTTTTCTTACAGAGCGTGTGCTAAAAATCAAGTTTAAAGTAAGTTTGTTGTCAAAATATTAAGAGAGGGAGAGAGGGGTTAAAGAAAGGAGAGCTGAGAGAATGCAGCCCACTTGCAGAACAGACACCTGTTTCAGTATGAAGCATGAGGGAGAGGGAGAATGAAGTGTGCTTTCCACTTCTTCATGTCCTTTCCTTGATGAATGGTCTGAAATGTATAAAACGAGGGCATACACAGACCAAGGGGGCACGTTCCACACAATACTGAGCACAGCATGTCACTTGTTTCATATATTAAACATCGGTAAATATCTTTTTGATGTTGACACAGGAGTTGGGATTATTGTTCGTGGTGCAGGTGGCCGTGGAATTGCCCGTTTTGAAGGGTGCCTGGGGGAAAGCACTATGGTTCATACCCCCCTCTTCGATCACCATATACTCCGACTTACTCAGAGTGGAGTTACTCCTTGCTTTCCGGAGCTCCTCAGCTGAAGGGGAGAGATGCTGGCAACTTCCCACGTGCAAGTACTGGGCTTGCTCTTCCCCTTCTGTCTCCCGGTGGTAGAAGTAATTGAAGTTGGAAACAATTACAGGGACTGGCAAAGCAATGGTCAAGACACCTGCGATGGCACACAGTGACCCCACAATCTTGCCCCCTATGGTCACCGGGTGCATGTCACCATAACCTACTGTTGTCATGGTTACCACAGCCCACCAGAAGGCATCCGGGATGCTGCTAAAACCTGAAGTGGGGTCGTCCGCCTCGGCAAAGTAGACAGCGCTGGAGAAGAGGATGACTCCAATAAAGAGGAAGAAGATAAGCAGCCCCAGCTCCCGCATGGAAGCTTTTAGCGTCTGCCCCAGGATCTGCAGCCCCTTGGAGTGGCGGGAGAGCTTGAAGATGCGGAAGACCCTCACCAGGCGGATGACTCTCAGGATGGCCAGGGACATGGCTTGCTGTCCATTGCCCTGTCGCTCAGCTAGCTCGGTGCCTAGAGTGATGAAATAAGGGATGATGGCCACGATGTCTATCAGGTTCATGATATTTCGAGAGAAGGTAGCTTTGCTGGGGCAAGCGAAGAACCGCACCAGCAGCTCAAAGGAGAACCAGATGATGCACAAGGTCTCCACCACGAAGAAGGGATCCGAGAAGCTGGCGGCTCCCGCGGGGCCCCCCGACGTGCTGTTACTGGCCGCCTCGAACAGCTCCTGCGACGGCGACGCAGTGTAATACTTCTCGTCGCGGAACTCGGGCAGCGTCTCCAGGCAGAAGATGACGATGGAGATGAGGATGACGAGCACGGACACGATGGCGATGCCCCGGGCCGGACCCGAGCTCTCCGGGTACTCGAAGAGCAGCCACACCTGGCGCTGGAAATCGCGGCGGGGCAGGGGCCGCTCTTCTTCCCGCAGGAAGCCCTCGTCCTCGCGGAACTTCTCCATGGCCTCCTCGCCCAGCTGGTAGAAGCGGATCTCTTCGGAAAAGATGTCGATGGGCACATTGACAGGCCGGCGGATTCGACCCCCGGACTGATAGTAGTAGAGGATGGCGTCGAAGCTGGGCCGGTTGCGGTCGAAGAAGTACTCGTTCCNGGGCGCGCGCCCCACTCCCCGGGAGCCTCCCGGCCCAACCCTTCCCCGCCTGTCAGGGTCACCCAAGCGCTCACATTTTGCACGCCCCTCGCCCCGCCAAGGCAGCCCTTCTCCGCATCCCTTTCCCCCCCGCCCCGAGACCGTGTCCCAGTCTCGGGACTCCCCCATTTCGCCCCACACGCGCCACCTGGGCGGGCGGGAGGAGGCAGGCTCCGCGGGGCCGAGGTGGCCAAAGGCGGGGGCCGGCTGGGAGGGAGGACGACGACTTGCTCTGGGGCTGCCGCGTTATCCAGGGAGGGAGTGGCAGGTCAGGTGGGCGCCTAGGACAAGAGGTAAGCCGAGTGCCCACTTGAGGGGGAAAGAACTCCAGGCCGGGAGGGATAATTAAGCTCTTGTTTGGTTGAGAAGGCCGGCGGAGTAATGGGAGTTTCGCACCCAGAGTCTGAAGAAAATGGTCATTAAGACATTCAGAGACTTTGCTTCTACAGTGAATAGTTGACACTACCTTTGGTAGCTGAGATTTTAACCATTAGGAAGAATCGAGGACCAAATTAGGTTTGGCGAGGGCAGCCTGGTCATTCCAATCCAGTAAGGTTTCCTATCCGTGCGAATATGAGAGGGAAAAGAGAAAGGAAATTCACATTTCAAGTCCCTTAGAGGGAGGGGCGTAAGCCAGACCCTCTTCCTGGGGAATTGGCCATGTTCTAGTTGTTAAACTAGGACAACAGTCATCCCGCAACTTGTATCTCTGTTGCTTGATTTTAGCCTGGAGATAATAACTTACAGTTCTCCCCGTTGAACCTAAACTATTTCTCCAAATTGTTGTGGGCACACCGAACACAATTTCTGTTTCCAGACATTTCAGCAACTTCAATTGAGAGTCAACCGTAGGCTTAAGAATGTGTTTTCCATGGTATCATTCAAATCATTTACAAAACAGGAACTCTTTATGTAGATAGTTCCCTCATCTGACAATTCAACTTGAAGTAAGCGTGATTTGTGGTCATTGCTTTCCATATCATTGTCAACTGTGAGTTTCTCTAGAGCACAGCCAGATCTTACCCGATTTTATATTCCTCGCAACTACAGAGGTCCCTGATAAATAGTAGGAACTCAGGATACGTTTGTTGTATTGAATTTCCCTACAAGTGATGCTTTGTATTTCTATCTGCTCTGAGCCCAGGTCACTGGGTTTCCTGGGCTGAGGGCTGGGGAGAAACTGAGCTCCCAGTACAGCACATTCTTCAGTTACTCCACAGGGTTTCCACCTCTGCCTCTTCTGAGTACAAATAGCACCCCTGTTCTTTACTGTCTTTTTATCTTCCGTGTCACTTCCAGGTCAGTACCAGGCACTGCAGGCAGTAACATGTTAAAAGTAGACAACCATGTAAAATACTCCCTCACAAAACTAAAACACTGTATTTGAACTGGTAATTAGGGTAGCAGTATAATCAATCATTCATATGTTTAAATCTAAGAATAAGACAGATGACTTACTTCAAGGATGGCTCATAGAAAGGCAAGGACCCTATTTTTAAAGACCAAATGTTTCATGCACTTCTATGTCTGACTTAGAAAGTGATTAATTTCTCCATTTGCAGGAATTAGTCCTGAAATTAATATTAATCAATGGCAAGGAAGAGCAGAACAGAGGATGGTCCTGTGATGGATGGTCACAACTTCTCCCTGCTGTGATCTCTCTCCTTCAGAAATGACTGTTTCCATTACTTTTATCCATTTGCCGTGTTTGGAAGACTGCCTATGAGTGACTTCGGATGGCCCTTACTTTATATTTGAGGCCCAGAGAAGTTTAGCAGTTTGTTCAAGCTCACACAGCTGGTTAGTGACAGAGTTGGGCCTAAAATCTTGGATCATTTCCAAATCTAGTGTTCACTTTACTGTATCACACTGTGAAACTCTTATGTTAATCACTGTGAGTGCTTAATAAATACTAGATTTCTAACAGCAGCCTATTTTCTTCTGATTGCTGGCTAGTTCACTTCAATTCATATTTATTTTAACTGAAAACCACTGCCTTCTGATGGCTAGTCTCTTGTTTATAGGAAATAAGTTAGTGGGCAAATTCCAGCCCTGTTGGACACCAGAACCCATCACAACAAATTAATGTCAAAAATGGCACTTCAAGAGGAACACATACCATTTATTTGTAGTACCCCCCCAGTGGAGTAGCTCAAAGTGATTTGAAAATGTCTCATTAATCCTCATGACACCCCTGTGGGATAATAATAATATTACTATAATGTTTAAGTGCATAGAATTGTGGCAAAGCTGACAGCTTCTCCAAGCATGTGCAGAATTTCCTTAAATTTCCATCTTCAGTGTTGGAAGTAAAACCATCAAGTTTACAAACAGCAAAGGTAAATCTTGGTATTTGGACTTTCTATGTTGCTTTCAAGGTAGCTTGAGTTTCTTACTGATCACAGCAGTACTAGAAATAGCTAATTAGCAGTTAGTACATATTAGCAGCCTCTGGAATTAATCCAGAAAGGTTTGAGAGTGGGACAAGACAGGCCTTGAGACTACCACTAATTACAATTATGCATAAATGAATGGAGACAGAGCACCTACTGTGTACAAAGCACTGTTCTAGGTACTGTGGAAGTATAAAGTTGGAACATAGATGTTGCCTTTGTTGGCTCATGTGGAGTTAGAAAGATGGGATGTAAATCTGGAAAAAAATCTTAGCAGCAGTATTTAGTTAGCAATACAAGACAACAGTACAACAGTACCAGAAGTGTCACCTGGGACTATTTGGTCTATTCTAGCCAACCTGATTGCCTTGCTGTCTCTCAAACATACCAAGTTGGTTCCTAGCTTAGGGTCTTTGTACTTGTTCTCCCCTCTGCCTGAAACACTGTTCCTCTGAATTTTCATATGGCTTTCTCCATTACTTTAGGTCACCATTTAAAATGTCTCTTCAGAACCGGCGCATCTTTCTGCTTCCTAGATGAGATGTTGCTCAATGCATGAATCATTTAACAAAGACAAGATCTTCAAATTTAACTTCTTCGATTGGTGGCAGTGAGGGGATCCAGAGCAAACTTCCGATGACTATCAGAGACAATGAGAAACCCTCTGGGTTCACTGTCTTTCTTGCCCTTTCTGGGGGACTACTGGTAAATTCCTGTTTGAGCTCCACCTTCTTTGCATTCATGCAATTGGCTTTCCTTTACAGGGCAGGTCGTCCTGAGCGGGCACAGGGTTGGGCCTGAGACAAGCCTTTAAGAAGACCACAGTTTTCAAGAAGGGACAGAGCACATGTTTACGCTGTGTTGTGTGCGGACCCGGACATGCCGGGGATTCCCCACGCGCTGGGCCAGGGGTGTGGCGACGCGGGGCTTCTATCTCAACAGGACCACAAGGAAGCCCATGTGTCACGATGGAGCCCGGGACACACGACACGGCGTTTCTGTCGCAACAGCGACCCGCTGAGGACAGAACCAGAGCGCGCCTGCCCCTTCCTGTCCCGGTGGTCCCTGGGATGTCGTGACCCCCACCGCCCCGTGACAGAAAGGTCGCACCATGCGTGTTGGTTCTGCCACGAAAAGTACGGCGAGATATGCCAGGGCAAAACCCGAGGCCTGCGACAGAGCCTGGTCTGTCGCGACACCCCGTGTCCTGTTGTGACACGGGGATGGCCTGCCAGGCGCCATATGTCTGTCATGTCGTGGTGTGTGTCATGGCATGTGTGTGGCGCGGTGTGCGCAAGCATGTCGATGTTTGCGATATCATATACATGTAGATATTTATCAAATCCTCTAATCCCATCAAATTCAGTAAATCAAAATCAATCAGTGCTATTGCACAATTAATGTAAATATGCAATAGCAATTAATATAAATATGCACTGAGAAGGCATAAATAAAATGTCACTTCACAAGAGCTGACTCCCTTGGTGACAGCTACTCAATTTCAGGAGTTCCCCTTAGTCTCCCATCTTGGTAAATCTCTAACCTACTTTATTTTTTCCTTATTGCATTTATTTACTTGGGATTTTATCTTTATTTGATTACTTGCTTATTGACTGTCTCCTGCACTAAAACATAAACTCTCTGATGCTTTTTCACTTCTGAGTCACCAAAGTCTAGAACAGCACCTGGCACAATAATAGATGCTCAATCAGTATATATTGGCTGGAAGAGAGTAAAAAGGCAGAGTGAATGCACAAGGCATATGAAGGTACTGTGAGTGAACCAGTTTTGCTAGAGTAGACGGGTTATTTTGGAAAAGAATCTGTTCAGTTCTGGTTCTGCTCCATGGAACATGCTGAGCTGTGTGTTTATGTGTGTATATATGTATATATATATTGTTTTTTAAAGTGTCACTTCCTCCCTGTTACTCTACTCTCCCTTCTCCTTATCATCATGGATGGGTCTATCTTGCCCTCCAGAATTACATTTTAAACTCCCTCCTTGGGTATTCTTCCTGCAGATATCCGAAACTTGATATTTATAGCACCAAACTCATTATCTCTCTCTTTCCAAACTTGCATCTCTTCCTTTTTTCCTTATTTCATGTAGGAATGTGAAGTCACCTCTGAATCATTCCTCTGCCCCCCACATCCAGTCAGTCCCTATTGCTTTCTGTTCTCTCTCCAGGCCCCTCTGTATTCTGTCCTCACCTCTCCATTCTTGCTGCCATGATCATTCTGTAACAGGCTCCCTGCTTTCATTCTCTCTTTTATGTATTTCATCCTCCAGGAAGTAGCCAAGTTATTTTTGTAAAACATTCATTTGATCACATTGTTCTCTGGTGCTGCTGTGATGATTGGCCCTGACTTATCCTCCTGGTGGCATCTTCTGTGTGCCTTCCACATCACTTGGTGGTCCTTGGACATGCCACCCACTCACACACTGCCAAGCCTTGGCCCACACTATCTCCTCATGTTGCAGATCCCTGGAAATGCTGTCCACCTTTCCCCAACTAGTGAATTCAACCTTCAGGGACCAGCTTAGAGGTCACCTCTTATGAGACCCTCAGCCTTGCTGTCAGACATGATTACTACTTCAAAAAATATCACAAAATAAAGCTGATTATTAATAAATTCATGATTCCCTTTCTCATCAGAGCTTCTGTGGCATTTTATTCAGGGTTCCATTATAGGGCTTTACTGAACTATATTTTGTACATATGATATGATCTGTCTT